AAAAAAATGAACTTAAATGATTTTAGCATATGGCTGCAATATAACAGAGTGAAAAATTTAAGGGGGTCTGAATACTTTCCGTACCTACTGTATATATATGTATATATATATATATAAAATATTCATTTTAGAGAGATATTATCACTGATATTAAGGGGTTCTAGATTATTAAAGCAAATGCATCAGCACTCTAGACATCTGAGCAATGTATAGCAGAAGGCAGGGGGTGGGAGAGTGTGTGCCAACATCCTCTGTGCTGTGCCAATGCTTTTTGAGTGAAATGACAACACATTTCTTGTGCGCCTGCTAAGCTATCTGCCATCTGGATTCAATTGAAAGACTGAAGTGTATTAATTGGACAATAGTAAAGAAGATCTTACCCAGTTCACATAAAGCAAAAGATCACACTCTTTGTTTTCTGACAGCGTTTCTGAAAGTCAAATATAATAGAGAGTGGATGCGTCAAACCTGACGATGATGGAGATAATGATGCAATAATTATCTTCAGTGTCATCATGTTATGCTTTACCAGGTCTGCAGCCTGGATAATTCAAGATTTTTATGACAACAAAATCTAACAAGAACATTTTCTGGTGAAACAGTGGTGATGGATGCAGTGGTGACAGTTCTGCTCTTATTTTAGCTCTGCAAGAGTGAATAATGAGGCTCTCCCTTCTCTGCCCCTCTTCTCCCTGTGCCCTTTGCTTCAGGTCAGAACATTGCATTCCCCCCAGTGGCTCTGTGGGTAACTGTTGGCCTGGCTGTGTGTCTGCTGGTGCTGCTCATTGCTCTGGCCGCCGTCTGCCGCCGAAAGATCAAGGAGAGCTGCGAGGAGGCCAGGAGAGAAGGTGGGGGGTGGGGGACTTCACATTCAGAACCAGGGTATATCAAGGAGTACAGTTTATTGGTGATGACGCTTTTGAAAATCTGTGTTTAATCCTCAAGGTTAGAATAAAGCACATTTGTAGGCTGTGCTGCCTTCATTAGGGGCAGTATGAAATCTGAATCGCAGAGCAGTGGCAGCTTTGGAGCTATATGCACATAAAAGAGTAATAAAATGATGTTCTGTTTTTTCTGGGCGTATTGGCCTACGGCATACACACTTCAAGGGCTTGCTGAATAATGGATGCTAACCTATTTTGCTCTCAGGCCTTTTCAGTGCTTCTCAGGGCCTTCATTAAAATGCTGAATGAGTCCTTAAACTCTTCACATAGTGTGCCAGTAGATGATATGCATAATTGCGACATGTTGCCTAGATCATGTGGGAGGCACAATGAGAATGAGAGAGTTAGAGCAGAAAGCAGTGATGAGATGTTAACTGCTCAAGGAACTTGGAGAATCCAGAGGGAATTCTGCTTAATGTGTATAGGCAGGACCTCGGATGGTGGGACACATATCTTTGGCAGAGGGAAACATCATTACTCGGGTCCAGTAATTAGTGTTGCGGAATAGCCGAGGATCGCCGCAAGTGCAAAGAAAAAAGTTTTGAAATGAGATAGATAGTGCAAAGCCACCAGCTCTGCTGTAATGAGATCCATTCAGAGTGGAGGAGACATTTAAATAAAGGTCAGCCAGTGTCTGCACCAGGGCCTAGGGGTTTAAAAATAAATATGGAAGTGACACAGACTCAGAGGAAAGAGTAAATAGCTCCATGGAACATATGAAATCAAATGAAATGGAAAGAGAGAAATATAATGCAGTTCCTCCCACAGGCAAAGGGCTCCCAGGGTCACGCAGTGGGCTGGAGGAGGAGCTACATTTTTCACATGCAGCCCTGACACCGAAGGCAGGACTGATTATGTGGTCATCTACTGTTCACCTTGTTGAAATTTTAAGTCTTGTTCTGTTCCCTGCCTGTGATGTTTCTGAAGTCTCTGGTGTTTTCCAAGCACAAATCTGAAAACTGCAAATGCTGACTTATTCACATATCATGCACTCTTGTACTCCTGATAGAATGATACTGTGTGAATGCACATATAGAAGGGCTTAAAATAGGATTTCTATGCACATATCCAGAGCAGCGGGGAGGGCAGGAAGCAGGAAAGTGCAGACTAATTGTGGTTGTCTTATCTTTTAATGGTGTTCCTGGGTATTGCCAGATTGAAGTTGACTCTCTCTTCCCCCTGTCTGAGTAGCTACAGTGGAAGGGTCAGTAAAAGTGGAGAAGTGAGTAAGTCATTTTTCTTACCTGTCATAATGTATGTGGAGCACCCGAATGGGTATCGTAACCGAGCAGAGCAGCTTGTGGTATTACAGCTGGAAGTGAAAGCTCAATTCCAGGGGCACTGTTGTATCTTAACACCAGCACAGCTCTGGTCTCTCTGATATTTTCTTTTCTTTCATTCCTTTCTTACATATTAGCTGACAATGTATCTAATACATGCTTTAAATGGCCTAACCAGGACCACTGTTCCATGTCTCCAACGCTCATTTTACGTTTAGATAAGTGCATGATTTAATCAGACTTTGAGATCGTATGTAGGTGACACGGGAGGGATAGCTTCTATTTCACATGAAAGACATAAGGGAAACAGTGTTTTCCAGAGGGGTTTTTACCACATGGTGCACATTTTTCACAGGATTTGATCCTCAGATGGTTTGCCTGTGTGTGTACGTGACCCCCATGAAATGACTGCCACATAGATCTATTTTGGTCTATGTCAAAACTACTCATGAAAAGACATTTCTAAAATGCATGATTCCTGAAACATGGCGAAAGAAAGCTTTTCAGCTTTTAAACAAGCACAACTGTTTCATTTCTGTCATCAAGAGATGACATCTATTTTCTTATTCAAAATTTTGAAAGGTACAGATCACAAAATGCTGCTGTCTCATGCCTTAATATGTACAAAACTTTAAATATGAAGACGGTTCTGCCATGCAAGAATGACTTAATTAGCCCCACTAATCAGTGTATTTGTAGCACTATAGATTTACTAACTGCAGCCATTTGCTTTCACATACACTTGAATCAGTCATGATATCACAGCAGGGTTTGAAGCGATTCAGCAACAGTGCTGTGCCCCTGGGAAGGGTGATGAGGAACAGTAACACTCTCCTGGTCTCAGTGAGTAGCTGTTTCTGTCCCCTGACTCTCATCTTTTATTTAGTGTATCCAGCTTTTACCTCCATACATATGGGATGCAGCCAACAGGGGCATACGGTTTAACACACTCAGGGCACAAGGGAGGCAGTTCCCATTCCCTGGATGGGATGCCCTCCTCTTTATTCTGGCTTTAAGGTGCCTTTAAATGAACCTTGTTCTCCTATCAAAGCCCTGTCCCTGAAAGCACTTCTGCTGCTGCCACAGTGGTGGGACTGTAGGTAGATAGCAAAGCTTTTTCAAGGGGCTTTTGAGGATTTTACTCTCAAAGTGTACACATAGTTAACAGGTTAATTCAAAGCAGTATCCTAGGCATTCACTGAACACCTACCAGCAAAATATGCTCTTGACACGAGGCTGCAGTAGAAAACAAATTCCCCAAAACCTGAAATAGAATACCAAAGCCATGAAAATGTGTCATAATAATGTGTTACATTAAAATATGTTTTTAAAATAACACATAACACAGAGAAGGAAAAACTATGAACAGAATATGGTGTAGGCAGACTTATAGTGTGCATATATAACCTGTTTGAATTGGAAACCTCAAGACATTCTGCTACTGTAATAAGGGTTTTTGCTTAATTAATCTCTGATGTCAAAGAGAATCAGGCAAAGTCTAATGGCAGTGAAAAATGTCCCACTGAATTATTGTTTGGGGACACTGTCCCAGGTCTCTTTTTAGCCTACTGTAAACTCTGTGTGTGTGTGTGTGTGTGTGTGCGTGTGTGTGTGTGTGTGTGTGTGCCCATGCACATGGGTATGTCAGTGTGACAGCCATCACTGGATTGCTTCCTTAACTGTTGACAGTGGGTTTTAGTCTAAATCCTAATATGCCTACTGTCTTTGTGAAAGGGCTGCATAGGCGGTTAAGGTGTGGGTATGACTCTGTCTTTATATGTGTGTATGACATGGCAGGGGTACCACTGTCCAAAGCTTCATTGTCATATAGGCTGTGTCATCAAAGCTTGTCCCTTGAGCTGTAAAGGATCAGCTCATCATAGGCTTGTCATGAAGTGACTACACTGTGCACCTGCTTTTGTACTTTAGCTTTCACTGATAATGGCTCCTCTGTCTTCCCACAGCTGAAGAGGCCAAGGAACTGGAGGAAGAGGAGTCAAAGACAGGTCAGCCAATACACAACTGGTCAAGCCTCAGCCTCTGTATATAAGGGACCTGCTATGTATTTCAGCTAGCCACATGCACAAATGCTGGTCAGGAAACAGCAGCAGTTGAAAGTCCACTTATTAAAGTTTTACATTTTCTAGCTCAGACTAATATTGAAATATTTAAATATGTAATCTTTTGCATTCAGCACTCTGAGCAGTGCAGTCCTGCAAGGCTGTAAACATTGTCAGGCACAGGCAACAGTACATTCTATCTCGAATTGTATTTTTAATATAGTGTGTGCTGTTTAGTGTGAAAAGCATTGAAGTTACAAAAATATCAAATGTAAAAATCACCCACAGATTAGTCTGGCTTCTTTGAAAAGAAGCCCAGGTGGCAGGATGGTAGGGACCCAGCAGTAACTGAATGCTAAGTTTACTTACTGAAGAGTCAGTGAACGCTGATGAAGCATGAGTGCATGTAAGAAATGAGATCAGCTTGAGGCGCTGAATCCATTCAGCACAGCAATCCAGCAGCATAACTCTTCCATTGTGTGCATAAGTATATGAGGCAGACAGGCATATTAATTTAGTGATGCCAATAAGCTGTTTTACATTATACATTCCCTCAGAGCTACAGATAGAGCAGTAAAAACTATTTAATCTATTAAATTAATTGTAGCAAGTTCCACAGATTCCAAGTTTTACAAAATGACAACAATAGTGCTGCGGTGTCCTGCACTCAAATGATCTTTTTTACCAATATACTGTACACTGGGTTTTGGCTGAAATGCGTTATGCATATTGTTGACACTTGAATTATATTCCTTTGTTTTTATGATGAATAATCCTGTAAAATGTGATTATCCACTTAATGCCATATAGACTTTGGCAAGCATTTTACAAATGTGTAAAGCTGAATTTTTAAAAATGGAAATAATGAAGAATAAGTTCTCTGAGGCTATACCAAGACAGAGTGGTGCTTTAAGATAAATGCTAATGTGAGCATGCTAATATGCTCATAATGACAGTGCTAGCATGCTGATGTTTGCAGACAGAATGTTTACCAGGTTCACCAATTAACTTCAGGGTGTTAGTATGTTTGATGCTTAGTACTAAACACTAGCTGAAGCTGGAGTTGCCTGGCAACTCTATGAACATGATAAGAGTCCCGGAATCTACACTGCCGGCCAAGAAAACGTTTCAGCACATACTCTCACTAACACCACAGCATCATTTTTGTACTTTGCTTGTATTGATTAATATATTTCATTTGTTTAAAGTGTTAATTTCTGAGTGTTAGAAGTGCTGAGTGGCAGACTTTGTCAAGTTTTAGCCATTTGTCCCAGCTTCCAGCCATTGCATTTAGCCAAGTTGACATGCTGCTGGGTGTACAGCTATGTGTAGTATATTTACTGTACAGACATGAGAGAGATAAGTCTTGGTAAAAATGTGAATCCACATATTTCACGATATACAAAACTATTCCTTAAATATCTATTCAAATACAAATGGAGGATTTTCAGGGGGTTCCTATAACTTTTCATTTGAAAAAAGTTCGAGGTCTTGCTCAGTACTCAGTGCTAATGAACCAGGACAGCATACTTTCATATGCGCTTGTTTTTCCTTGATACGAGTGAAGTGATATTTTGCTTAGTATGAAAATGACCTTATCAATCCAGAATTAATTTCACCATTAGCAAGCCAAGCCAGCATCCTCTGCCTACCTACCCTCAGTTCTCCCTCAAGCGGTAATGTCATTAAAGTTATTCATTTGACTCCTTCTCTAGTCTGATTGAATTATTTAAACTTTCTGTGAACAGCAAAGTTAATACTATGTGATTTTAATAAGCTGAGAGGTGAACGAAAGCCTCTGAGTGAAGGGGCACAATGACTTTTATTCTCTAATGCCTCTCTCATGAATGTTTCAGAGAGAACTGTGCAGCCTAGAGCAGGGTCAGCCATCCCACAACTAGCAGGATGTAATAGTTTTACTTTAGCTAAAGGAGCCAGGAAAAGAGGAGAACAAGGGAGACTGTAGTTTGCCAGTGCTCCTTAGACAAGACAGCAGCTTGCAGCCACCTTTGCTACCGCTCCCTTTCGTCATCGCCCATGCACCTGGTTGATCCAGGTGGACATTGTGGGCGGTAAGCTAGTGAAGTCAAGCTAATGGCTCTGCCTTCTGAGATTGCTCAGTAAGCACTCCATACAGGCAGCTTTGTTTTGCCATCTGGCTTCAATTGCGCTGACAAAGGCAGAGGTTCCTCCATGAGACAAAGGAGCTGAAATGAGCCCCACTTTAATAAACCCAGGATGATGGGGAGCCACATTTGTGTGTTATCTTAATGAGCTGTCCAAAGGAGAGTGTGCCTCCCCTTTCAAAGCCAGCCTGATTGGAACAATAACCAGTGATAACAAGGGACCTGGGTTCATTCATTTGAAGTGGGCTAGGATCCCTTTGTTGCCTTTACAGCAGAGGCAAATAATGTTTAACAAACAGTGGAGCTCAAATTCTGTATTTATTTGCAGGTGCTAAAGCCAATAACAACCTCTTCACACACAAAAACAGACTCTTGTGACTACACCACCCAGAAAGGAGCAATGCTACACTGATTCACATGCAGAGATGTGCAGTGTGTACAGTTCTTGCTGCCTTCATCCCTCCCCTCCTCATCTCTTCCCAGAAATGTGTTCAGTAATCTGAGAATGATGTGTTGTTTAGAGGTGATTGCAGTCCTGTCAGAAACTGGCTGCAGTTTGTGCGTGCTAGCCCCTGTCTTCCTAAATCTTGGACTCTATGCAGTCAGGCCTTAGCAAGGCTCTGGAAGAGCATGTTAGTCAGTGACCCAGTTCTTTCTTAGGCAAGGAATTGTCAGAAAAAACAATTTGACACAGCCTCAAATGTCCCAAATGGAGCTCCATGTGAAAAATGGTTTTATTAACTTTTAACTGAGACAGGTTTTGTGAAGGTGGAAGGTAAGGTTATATAAAGCCTTTTAAAGTTGACAGTAAAGAGAGGGCCCATCCTTCACTGTCACTGACTTCATCCTAAAGCCAGTAGCTCATCGCTTTAAAATTTGTGTTAATCTTTAAGAAGCTAACTAGATAAGGCTGTGTACAGGTGACTCTTGAGCGGTCAGACAGCTGTACCAGAGTCAAAATCATCTTTGTGCTTGTGGGGCAACTGTGGTTCAGTGGGTAGAGCGGTCATCTCCCAACCGGCGGGTTGGAGGTTTGAATCACGGTGCCTGCAGTCCACATGTCGAAGTGTCCTTGGGCAAGACACTGAACCCCAAGTTGCCCCCGATGGTTAGAGCCATCGGTATGAGTTGGCGCAGCAGATGGCTGCCTTGGTTCTGTACCAGAAACAAATTCCTTGTCTGTGTAACATACTTGGCCAAATAAAGTGATTATCATTATCCTATTATAACCTCCCTGTCTTTCTGTTGAGTTATTCACATAGCAATAAAAATCAACACCTTAATGTACAAGGAACCATAATATTTACATAATGTCTGTCATGGGAATCAAAGTGTAGAATCTCAAATAAATGAACAAAGTACTTATTATTATATTGGGAAATATAATCCATTACATATATAGGCAAATATCTATACGGTACATATATGCAGTTGCGGTGGCAGCAGGTAGTCCACACATCCTTCTCTTCCCAGCAGCATTGTCCAGCTCCTCCTGAAACATTCTTCATGCTAGGTGAGATGTAGGGCGTTTTCCACCAACAGCAGGGTTTTAGGTTGCTGCTGCACCAACAACCTTCTGACCACAGCTATGAGTAGATGTTTCAGTGGAGGATTTGAAGCTGTCCCCAGTCTCCTCCTGTGATGCACAAGTGTTTTTTTTTCCCCAGAGGTGGGATTTAAAGACTTTGCAGACAGGCTCCCACCAAATGTTCCTAGCTCACCAAGCAGGTCTGTCTGGTAGTCTCCCTCACTGTCTGATCCAGCTCACCACCAGGTGGTGAGCAGTTTACAACTCATCTCTTCTCTTCACCTGACTTTCCAGAACTGGTTTTAGATCTGATGATACGACCAAGTCGATCATCAGTTGTAGACCGAGGGTATTCTGGATACACTTAGGAATCAATTTGGCTATAGATAGGTAATTGCTTTCACATGTGCATTTAACCATAAATTTGTATCGCAGGTGCAGCCAATATCAAATTAATATTAAAAAAAATGAATAAAAAAATTATTTTGTAAAAACTGGCTGAACTTATTTTGTTGCTGAAATCTGACCTTAAAGATGCCCTCTGGAGTGTTTGACTAGCAGCATGTGGCAGCTCACTGTAGGGCTATGCATGAGGGATTTTACAGGCAAATTCGTCATTTTTGTGTGCCAGCAGCATAATTCACATCCCGTAGTTTGTTTAACGTTACTCCACTGACTAACACTTGGTATCAGTAATGTGCCATCGAAGGCCCTAAAGAAGAAAACTGCTAGCAAGCAAACACTGATGTAAACAGTTCACTATTTAAAATATTTTCATCTGTTTTATAACGAAGGAAATGCACTCAACATATTCATTACACCTCAAGGATTTACTAAATGTCAACAGAACATTTGTTTGTTCCAAAAAAACTCAACAGGGCACTTTTATGTTTGTTTTTCTTGTTTACTGTATTGACAGAGACTCCTCTCTAAGTCACCAAGTAGAGTTTACACCAAAAATTTCAAAACTTTACTAAACACTGAAAAAACTTCGAATTGGAATAATGGAATACGTGGCATTATCAAACCGAGATTTGTTTAAAGCTCTGCATACAAATATTCTTAAAACATAACCAAAACTGCAGGTCACATTCCAACTGCGAGAGCCTTGGGAGGCAGGCTGGCAACACACACTCAGCCACTGGGCTGTCCCAGCAGTCACACATTACTGAGTAAAGACACAGTATGTAAATAGAACATTCATGTTGCCTTCATTATTGGATGTGGGTCACTGAAAAACTTCAAGAGCCCTAATTAAAGGAGCTCTCTGCACACCATTGCTTAGTAGTTGCACACACATTATTTGAGCAGTTCATTCGTGTTCCTTGCTGGTTCAGCACTCTGCTGTAAGCTACATGTTTACTGCTGTGTTTTCTCCAAGGTTGCTGTCAAAAGTAACCAAGGCCAAGTAACCTTGGTTTGATGGGAATTATAAACCACCTATCCCATGAATTATAAGGTCTCACATTATACCAAATCCTCTAATTCTGTACAAATATTTTTTATACTTGCATTTTCTTGTTATTTTAATACATTCCACAAATACACCATGAGAAGGTCTTACAGTATGTTACAAAAGGAAACTTTTTTTTCTCTCTCTCTATGTTCCTCACTTGCTTTGAGTTTGGGAAGAGACTTATCACAGATGTGCTGCACACTGAGCTGCTTCTTCAACCTCTCAGAGGTTATCTGCTAGTTGTGAGGAAAAGGGCACATGATCATTGTCAGACAAGATAGAAGAAAATAGCAACTCCTTAATTATTAGGATTAATGAGCATTGTCACAGTTAATAGAAGCAGTCAAACCACTCAATGCTGTGCATCACAACAGACCAGCCCCACTGCTCACTGGTTTGCATATTAGACAAAAGTAACGGTGTAAAAGGTGCTTTGGTAAGAGGATGGGGGTTCTTTAGGAGTCTTTTTCTGGGATTAATCCCCCTGTACGGATGCTGTTTATATCCTCCTGCCATCCACTCCCCCTTCTCACTTCTGTCATGTAATCTGCGCGCCTCTGACAGCACAGCCAAGGCCCAGTGGGAGAGTGCCTATCCATCTCACTACCCCAATCTGCCTCCCATGTTTGGTCCTACATGAGCACTCAGCTGCTGTGACTAATTAAATAAAACACTGTGCCCTCTGCTTCCTGTTAGCCATGGCAAGGTTGGTGCGCAGAGATGGAGCAGAGGAGGATCAGGGATGCTGAAGGAGGATAGGGCATAATAACTCCTAAGCTTGTGAGCCTCCTAAGCCTCCTAAGAACAATAGACATAAATGCGACATTGTTGACAACATAGCGGTAGTTGTATCATCACCAATCTCTTATTGATACAATATTTTGAGCTCACACATTCATTCTTCTTCTTTATTTTTTTAGCCATGATGCTACTGAAAAGCTAAGGCCAAGAGAGTAAAGGTGAGTATAATTTCAATATGTACAGTGTATTTGTTTGCCTTTCAGCACATTTGTGTCTTTATGTGTTGATCAGCTATCAAATTCTTTGTTTCGCATCACAAATGCCTGGTATTCTCAGCAGTAATGCTCTGGAGGACACATTGTCTCTGGAGGCTATGGGTAAGTGCTAATATAATGAGGCTAGGCTGCATTAATTCAGCAGACAGTGGGGAATATGAGAAGGCTTGACATTTTGATTTCAGGAATCACAGGGTCACTGGCTGATATGACAAATCAATTTCATTTTATCTGGCATGCAAACATAAACTCCCCGGCCAGCTCAAAGCCACTGTAAGAGACTGGCTAATGATAAACACTCAAAGTATGAGTCATGCAGCCTCTTTCTTTCCCTTTGTGTCTGAAACTCAGTATATTCAGTGTCATTTTCATGAAGCTTTCAAGCTGCAAGTTTCAGCTTGCAAGAAGCTACAGCAGACCGTTTTGGTGTTTGCTGCAAGCCTTGCTCAAACATCTTAACCTTGCACCATTAATATAATTATTTTTGCTACATTTAAGCTGTCTTACTGCTTTTTTTGTGTGCAATCTTGAACACGTACCTCTAGGCAAAACTAGAGGAGAAAAAGACATCTGTTTATATGCGTGTTCCAGTTAGCCACACCTGCACTACCCAGTTTTCGCTGCAAACATTGCAGTCAGAGATGCCATCATGCTGACTAGCCACACTTTGTAGAGAAACTTCCACAGTAGTTGGCGTCTCCTCTTTTTCAGTTGGCACTGATTGCACTGTCAACTTTTTCATGGCAAAACATTGATCCGCATGGTAGTTTTACATCTTGACTGTTGACCTTAAGAGCTAGACTGCTGAAGTGACTGTGCCACCTCGCAGCATGGAACAGTCCACATAATGCAAGGTTCTTTTCAGTGTTGCATAATACGCCAACGTAGCTGGATGAATGAGTGACTCTTCATCAGACATAAACATATACTGTACAAAATGATCAGTACACTGTCACAGGATTAGCAAAGTATATATACAGTCAGAGGTGGAAAGTAACTAAGTACATTTATTCAAGTGCTAAACTTAAGTAGAATTTTGTGGTACAGGTATCTGTACTTGAGCACTTTCATTTTGTGCTACTTCATACTTCATGTTTCAGAGAAAGATAGTGTACTTTGTACTTTACTTGCCAGGTTCTTTTCAGAAAAGTTAATAAAAACAAAACATAGTATAATCACAAGATGTATTGATCATTGGTGTAAAATTCACAAGCTACCCAGCAGTAATTAAAATTATAAGCATATAAGGTAGTTAAATTAGCGCTGCCTTTACCAGCTGCAGCATTAAATCTGATGTACACAATAATACATCAGTAATTATAATCAAATAATAGAATGTACATCATTGTAAATTGTGTCATTTTGCATAATGAGGACTTTTCATGTGTTTTCTGCTGCTACTTTTGTACTTTTATTTCAGTAGCATTTTGAACACAAGACTTTTACTTGTAATAGAGTACTTTTACACTGTGGTATTGATACAAACAGTCTGAGTACTTCTTCCACCACTGTATACTATAGGTACAGGAGAGTACAATACATTCAGATGAAGTTATTTGAGTCAAACTGAGAAAACAGATTTGACTCACAATCAAGAAATGAAAAAATACACATAAATTTAGTGAAAAAACAGCATCCCTCAGAGTATGCAAAGCAGTTTTCAGACAGTTGATTGCAAAAGTTTTCATTCCTTTATGTTTACATAGCAAAAGAGTAAAAAGATTTTTTATTTCTCATCAACATAATATTTAATGCACACTCAGCTAGTGCAACTGTTCTTTCATCAGCAGAAGTAACAAAAATGGTCTAGGAGTGTTCTTTAATACTCTGTATGTCCTCCCTAACCTCCTCCAACCTCTTTGGGTACCCTGTGAGCTGTGTTTGAATCCTTTGATGTGTAATTTTAGCCCATTCTTCATGGCATGCTTGTTCCAAGTCTACCAGATTGCTGGGTTATCTGCTATGTATGTGCAGCCCTCTTCATATTGATCCACAGGTTTTCAGTGATTCTGTGACTGAAAGAGGCACTAGGGATCTCGCTCAAGAGCTATGTAAGAACCTAAAACAAACAGCAGGGGACATGCGAAAGTCCTTGGAGGCAACTGGAATAAAAAATTCACATCTCCACAGTCAAGTGTAGTCTGCACAAGTCTGGATTGTTTGAGAGAAAAGCATGCAGGATGCTACTGCTTATTTCTAGACACAAGGCAGCAGCATGCTTGGAGTATGGTAAGGAGCAAAATTATGGAGTTTGATGAGACCAAAGTTGAATTGTTTGGTCACAATTCACACAGGTATGCGTGGCGAGAAAAACGCTGCCTAGAAGAGAGGAACACCAGTCCCATAGGCAAACATGGTGGAGGCTCACTGATGTTTTGGGGGTGTATGTCTGTATCAGGCATTGGAGCTCAGCATAAAGTGGAAGGAAGAACAAATGCAGCCCAGCATCCGAAGATTTTAAAGGAAAACCTCCTACCATCAGTGGAAAAAAACCAAAAATGAAGTGGCAGTGAATTCTTCAACAAGACAATGATTCAAATCACAGAGAAAAGTCAACTCAAGAATGGTTTAAAAGGAATAAGGTGAACATTTTACCATGGCTTTCCCAGTCTCCAGTCTTAAATATTGAAAACTTGTGAATCAATTTGAAGAGGGCTGTATATAACAGACAGCCAAGCAATCTGGTAGACTTAGAGCAAGTATGACATAAAGAATGGACTAAAATTATACCTGAAAGAATACAAATGCTGCTCAGAGGGTACCCAAAGATGTTGGAGGAGGTTAGGGAGGACATGCAACGTATTAGAGAAGATTTCAAAGGATGTAAACCTTTGCACTGATATGATCTTCATTATTTTACTCTTAACTTTCTTTTTATGCACTTCCTGACTATTTTTGTTACTTCAGCTGATGACGGAACAGTTCTACTAGCTTAATGTGCATTAAATATTATGTTGATGGAAAAAAAAAATCTGTTTTACTCTTTTTTTCGCAATTTCAAAGAAAGGGGATGCAAAACTCTGCACTCAACTGTAGCATATGCATAGTCCTACACAGAAATAGTAAGGAAAACATTATAAATATATGCGCAAAATGTCCGTCAGTGTATTTTGCATATTCTGTATTGCAGAGCCTAATTATGGGGAGAGTCGAAGTCATGTCCATGTTTTCAGCTCCATGGACACTGACATTCCTGTAACCAACAAAGGGCAGGAGTTTGTTTTCTCAAAGGAGAAAAATATCTTTCCCTTTTTGCTGTGACATAGATGTTTTAATGTTGGATGTTGATGTTTTTGGAGACATTTTAAAGGCACTCCATCAATTTTGATCTGATTTGCTATTGAAGTATTTTTGTCACTATGAAGCTGGAGTGATAACGGCACAGAGACAACAGAAAAATCGATACATGTGATCTGTCTTTTGTCAGAAAATGAGACCCAGTTGATGAATGTAGCCGTTAGCTGATGGATATTTCCTTTTGTTCAAGACCATTCCAAATTCACTCAGCTAATAAGGGAAGGAGTCAGAGGAGGTCAAGGAAAAATAAGCGGGGTGATACTGCTCAGTCACACCGCTATGAGTCACACTTCCTCCACTGCTTTCTTACGTTAGCATTTAGTATGGAACCACAATATATCTGTTCTTTACTGTACCTCGAAGACTTACTTTAATAACCAGCAGTTTGGCGTCAGTTGTGTGAATACTTTATACCACAAGGTTGAACAGTTACAGCTTTTTTTTTTTATTATACCCTGATTGGTCATTGCCATAAAGCTGCAGCATGTAGAGTGAGTAGAAGATGATAGAAGGTGCAGAAAGTAATTTCCTGTAACTAGCCAAAATAAAGTCTGGCCAGTAGGAGTCAAAGAGAGGACATTTGTCATTAGTGTAGCATTCACTGACCTTCACCGAGACTGTTATTACTAGGTAATATCCTGCAAACCCCAGGACCTCTCCACTGCTGAATCATCCTGGATCAATTATTCTAATATTTGTGTGGCAGTTTTGCTATTGATGAAAGCATTTATGCACAGTGCAGCATGCCTTATTTAATAAAGCAAAGCTCTGCATTTAATTAACTCATTTTAGAGTAAGGGGCCACTTTGTTTTTATAAACCTTATCAATACATGTGTTCATTCCTGATTTATGTTTACTCACTCAAACGTTTATTGCTTCATTACTAGCAGCCAAGCACAGATAAATTAAATGGCCATCTGCAGCACGCTCAATATATTGCAGATTGTGCACACTGCTTTGTTGCCATTGTTAGTGGTAGTGTAAATGTTAACATCCTGACCATTATGGCAACTTGGTAGTTCTAAGAATTCAGATGGTAATAGAAATGCAGAGTGAGCCCAGCTTAGATTTGACATTTAAGGCAAAGAAATTTCCTTGAGGGTGCTGTTACTCTCTGCTGCCGCCATCCTCTTCTGTAAGCAAGGGGCTTTTTTGTTTTGTTTTGTTTAACCTTTTTAAAAGTATATCTTTATACTCATTACCTTTCCTTGTTGCAAGGAGAGGTAGGGAAGTGGTTGGGTGCAGAGATCCTTCTTTCTCTTCTTACTGACTCCGCAGAATCAGTTTTTCATTTCCTTTTTTGTTTTTGCCAGTAGAAGGATACTTTGTTTTTTGCCAAACCACCATGTCTGAATAATGGTAGCTCCAGCAATGCTTCAAAAAACTAAATATTAGTATAATCTGATAAGCATTTGATACACCACCAATAAATTATTTAAAAATCTAACAATGTGATTTTCTGGAATTTTTTT